AGCAAATGGCTGCAATATAACAAAGAGTGAAAAATTTAAGGGGGTCTGAATACTTTCCGTACCCACTGTATATGTCAGTTGAACTAAAAAAAACCAAAATTTATATGGTTTAATTAAATGCGTATTAGAGCATAAATAAGTAATTGAGCATGTTTCAGAGTGAATTGCAGCACTGTGTTAATTTCCACATGAGGGCCTCATGATCCAGCGTTTTCAGTTTCTCAAAACGGAGCCATTCACAGAAAATGCTGCACACTCTATCTTTGCATGTCCTGTGAGTTCAACATGCATTTCTGTCTTACAGATATAACAAGAACAAGAATATTAATAATATAGAATAATAATAATAATGATAATTATTATTATTATATTCAAACAGTCTGGCTTCCTAAAAAATAATATATATACAGTGGGTACGGAAAGTATTCAGACCCCCTGAAACATAAATTCAGTGTGTCCAAACTTTTGACTGGTAGTGCAGATTCAAATTAATAACATTTTAAGTTGAAATTCTGCTCCACCCACCTGTATTGAATGAAAGACACTGATCTCTGGGTGCCCCCTAGTTGGTCAGATGACCCCCTAATAGGTGTGACTGGACGAGGGATCCTGCTCCTAATTCTCCCATCTGCTCCTCTCTCTCCTTTCGCCGAGTCGTCTGATTGGTGGGTTTCATCTTCAGATGCAGTGGTTGAGAGTGTTGGGGAGTGCGAGGAGGCGGAGCGAGAATGAATCAGGTGGGTTTGTTTACGCTCCAGGACGAGACGAGCCAGCTGTTGTTGTCGGCTTTTGCGAGTTCGCTGCAACTGCTCTTGACTCATCTGCGAAGACTTGTCCGAGCCTGTTTCCTCCTCCGACATAAGCACAGGGATACGGCTCCGCCTCTGCGAGAGTGGCTTTCTATCAGGTGACTCCACCCTCGGTGGAGACATATACTTCTCATCCTCCACTACTGCATCTCTGTTTTGTTCAGGTGTTACTAATGGACTTTCTTCCTGCTCCTGTTCCCTTTGCTGCTCAACTTCTGGTGTGAACCCATCTGGTCTGGCTTCCATTTTGGCATCTTTGGAGACAACTTCTTCCTCAATAACGGTAGTCTCTGGCTGGTCATGTGACTCAACCAAAAACAAAGCCTCTGCCTTCTCTCTGTCACTCTTATTTACTTTTTCTTCAGCTTCACTCTCTTCCTTTTCCCCCTCATCCTCTTCTCTTTTTAATGTAATCCCCTCACTTTCCTTTTGCTCTCGATCACTGACCCTTTCCCTCTCCTCTTTCTTTCCACTCGTCTCCTCACGCTCAGTAGATATCAGCTCATCCAGTCCAGGTGGACGGTGTCTGGCTGTCATGACATTGAGATGCGTCGTCTCAGCAATGTGGATAAAAGTGCGTTCCACCTTGGTGAACGGCGGTGAGGAAGAACCGCTGGTGATCACAGCTGCAGTTGTCATGACGATAGGCCTGGGCTCTGACTTAATGAAGGAGGAGAGAGTCCCGGGCTCAGATTCATCCGGCACGGGTCGCTCTCCCTGCGGTGTCAACACGGCGAGAGTTCCCTGCCCGTCTCCAGGTGAAACCTGCCCGTTACCGGCAGACACAAGCACCAGCGTGCGTGAGCCCTCTTCCTGTTCGTGGTCCCGGTGGGCCGGGGCGAGTAGAGTGGACACAGCGCCCTCTGGGCTTCCCTCGCTACTCCGAGGGCTTCCATCACTGCCTGAGCCTCCAGTCTTCGCACCCTCCTCTCTCAGATCGTCAAACATCAACACACCAGACACAAAGTCGACTCGCTTCAGACGCGCCTGAGAGGAAGATGGCGAAGGTTCAGCCACTGCAGCCTCGGGTAGCAATGCAAGAAAAAGAGAAAAGAAATTAGTGAAGTAATGATGAAAAAGATGGAGAGGTTGTAATAAATTTGTTGTTAGGTTTTCAAGTTTTAAGGCTGCACAATAACACTTCAAAAGAAATTAATAAAAAACTAATTTAGACCACATTGTGAGAGAAAAGTCCACTCTTTAGTCATTTTTCAGATTATTTACTTGTGATTTGGTTGTATACAAGCTTTGCAGGATTGTCTTTTTAGAATGACATACATGGTTGAAAAGGCACAAAAGTTCATTTTACAGTGTTATATTTTCTCTATATTTTTTAAATGATTTAGCCCATTTGTGATTTCAAGTGTAGACTCAAAGACAGTGCTCAGCCAACAGTATGTACAGCAGTGGACACACAGAGCGATGAGAAAGAGGAATGTGTCAGTACAGCAATCTGTCCAAGACTTGCAATTTTACAAAAGCCTAAAATACATGCTTGTACATATTACAAGTCTACTATACAGTCCCTATGGTGTTTATTGCACTAGCTATTTAGTGAAATACTCTTGCTTGACCCTGATTCACACATGTAATGCTTCTATGAGCAGGTCTGGGATCAGCTGATGAGTAACATTTTTCAGCAATAAAAAGTCCAGCGTATGATATAAATTTTGACTCATAAAATTCCTTAAAATTGATTCATAACAATACTGATCTGTGAGAAGCCACCTTCATGGTTTTAGGCTTTTCTCAATACATTATTAAATACATAAAAGTATACATTCAAATTTTTTTCTACCCAAACAGATGTTGCTAAACGCTGTTGTACACTCAAGGTTTGTCTCTGGGCAGTTCTGACAAGCTCAAATTTGACCAGGTTAGAGACAGATAATGTGAGAGGTAAAGAATGTTGAATGGCATGAAGCTGAAAAGCCATTCGGCTTGAGTGAATATTGAATTTAGCATCAAATATGGTACTACATGGAACACCATATAGTTTCAGAAGTAATGGACAACATTATTTACAATCTCTCAGTAAAGCAGAGAAGACATTTGTTATACTTCCTCTAACCTTCCTCAAACTATCTGAACACGTTACCTCACATTATGCAAACTGGCACTGTTTTAATCTTCACCAGCTTGGAAACATTACATTTCCTGGGAAATTATTTTCTTCATTAGAAATTTTCAAAATTTAAATATACCAATGAAAAGATATTTGTCTTTTTAAGATTTGAATGTGACAGAATGTGTATATACACTACTTTTCAAAATTTTGGGGTCAGTAAGATATATTTTTTTAAAGAAATCAATATTTTTATTCAGCAAGGATGTTTTAAATTGATCAAAAGTTACAGTAAATACATTTACAATGTCTTTAAAGACATTAATAATGTTATAAAAGGTTTCTATTTAAAAATTTGTTTTTCAACTTTCTATTCATCAAAAAAAAAATCGCAGGTCACGGTTTCCACAAAAATATTAAGCATGCCTAACTGTTTTCAAAATAATAATAATAATAAGAAGAAGAAGAAGAAGAAGAAGAAGAAGAAAACCCTTGAAGACCAAATCAGCATATCAGAATAATTTCTGAAGGATTGTGTGACACTGAAGACTGGAGTAATGGCTGCTAAAAATTCAGCTTTGCCATCACAGGAATAAATAACATTTTACAATTTATTCAAATAGAAAAAAGTTATTTTAAATTGTAATCATATTTCACAATATGAGTCCTTAGTGAGCATAAGAGAAAAAATATCACAGACCCCAAGATTTTGTATTGTAGTGTATGTGGTATGACCACAGCAATTAACAATCTTTGGGAGGCAGAAATCTATTTGCTTAGTATTATCCTGCATTAAAACAAAAATACAGCCAAACTGTAAAAAATTACAGTTACAGCCAAGCTTTTGTGTCTCTATGTACGGTCATTCAGTCTATGCTCATCTTCTCCGTTAGGAAGACATTTGGAACAGCTGTCTCACACAGTTCAGACTACAAACTCTTCTGAACATACACGTTACAGTACATTGGTTATTCCAGATAAACGGTGACTGGTGTGAATTGCATTAAAACACCCAAAGCAGCACAGATACCAGGAGAAAAACTGCTATGAGTTCAAACCCAGTATGAAATATTGTATTTTTGTATTCATATATGTTTTTCACCACTAAGAGTTTGTTGCAGTTGGCCCAGTGAGGCAAATTATAGTTTAAGAAGAAACTCTGCACTTTCAGCAAGATTCGCATATGCACTGATATCCAGCCTTGAGTCATATAGCATTTTTACAGCATGAATTTCAGGTGAAAAATTAATACACCTACAAACAATCAATCTTAATTTCCTCCCACAGATATGTATATATCTTAACTGAACTGAAGCTGGAGGACTTTACAATACAGATAAAGCAAAGATTTCAATGTGTTAATGCTACTTTATGTTTCATAGGATGTATCTAACACTGTCTCAACCCAGCACAACCAAACTGTCTGTCCATGAAAATGTGACACAATCAGCCAATCAGAGCCAGTATTGTAATTGAGTAAAACTAAAACATTTTTGGTAAATTGAAATGAAGCTGAAATAAAACACAATATAAATATTAGATGAGAAACTTAAATTTAAACCCAAGTTAGAAATGTTACCTTGACAAATAAATGAAAAAAATTAGTTAAATTTAAAGTACTAAAATGATTAAAACTGGAATTAAAAAATAAAGCCAAATTAAAACATTAAAATAAAAATAAAACAAAAAACTAAAATTAAAACTGATCATATAAAATCAAAGCTGATTCTAAACACTAATAATTACTATAATAGTATATAAATACTAAAATAACACAGATCAGAACATAGGATGTCTAATGTACAGTTATGTGAAGCATAATTTTGTACTAGAAATAAAAACTACGTAATCTAAAAAATGTTGTGGCTACTGTTGATTAGCACAAAAACGCATGTCAGATTATTGCATTATACCTGGTTATGACACAATGTGTAATCTAATTTCTATGACAACGACGCTGCACTTCTGCATTCAAAAGCTTATTTATGCATGATTTTAAACACTGAAGTAGCATGTGAAGTCTATGGCCAGGAACACAATATGGCAACATTCATTTGCTGAATGATAAGCTATAGTCAAGTTCAAATATCTGCATATGTGTATCAAACCACTAATGCATGTGTGACAAAACCAAAGAAAGAGGCTCAGTCTTCCTTTTACACACCTATTGCCTTAAGCTCTATTGCACTTCAATATATAATCATTTATTTAATATATCTCTATTCCAGAACTTTAATCGATTTTCAACTCCCTATTAGACAAACGTCTTGACATCTAGGATGTTGTGTTTATGACGTTCTTGCCGTCAGATAAACACTGCTCACTGTTCACATGGAACCTAATATCATCAGAAAGCAATATGCATGTTTTTGTAATACTGAAAGATAATAATTATGGTAGAGAAAAATTATCTTTAAATATATTTTTATAGCTTATATGGAAGACAAAAGTGATACCACAATTAATCTACATGGCCAAAAGTATGTAAAGACACACCAACCTCACATTCATTTGTTAAGCATATATTTTTTTAAACCAAGGCCATTCACCTAAAAAATGTCTAAGGAGGCTGTATATGGCTGTATAGTTGATTTTCTGCACCTGTTAGTAAAGGATGTAGCTGAAACAGCCAAATTCATTAAATAGAAATGTGTGTCTACATACTTTTAGTTATGCAGAACATTTAATACAAGCCTAATACTCACACCTTGGACATGTGTACACACAACTTATTCTATCTGTCTTTGCTTACTGATTTTCTCTTCTATACAGCAACAATACTCTCCATGAAATGCCAGAGGAACCAAGCTAGTACCAATCAACTAGATTATTTTACAGGTGCAAACGCTGTGAGGATTCACACACTGTATATGGTTAATGACATGCTCTCTCTCGGCTACAAAAGATGCCTATAAGAATCTATATAAAGAGATCCATCAGTTCACAATGTCATGTTTGCTTAAGAAAGCCATATATCCCGCCTGGAGGTGTGCGTTGTGGTATTTGACAGGTTCTATATGTGCTGAGATCGTATTGATGCGAATAGACTGTGCAAAAAATAGCTTAGCACGCACTCACTGTCCTTCTAGTGTCCTCTACTAACACTCAGCAGGCGAACACAGCCTTTTTAAGTATCTGCTTTAGGCCAAAATTCATTGTAATTCAATGACATTCAACCCTGAAAACATAATCACACTATCCAGCCTGCATCACAACTGTCCTCTTACACAGAAGATGACAGTGTTGATGGGAATCTAAGAGGCCTAAGCAAAAAAAAAAAAAAAACGATATTCTCGTCACTTTAGTCAAAGTGCCTGCCCCACCAGACACCAGCAGCTCTGCATGAAACACCCCTGATGGAGGTAAAAATGTGTTTTTGTCTTAGTGTTTGTTTTTTTACCAAAAAAAACAAAATAATAATATGAAAATAAATAAAATGCAATGTACAGTGTCTCTATGAGTAAATACATCATACAGCATTGTACAGAATTTCTTTGTTTTGGAGAATACAATATAATTTATCTTTCTCCAATCATCCCAAGTGCTTAAAGGGAAAATTCACCCAAAAATGACAATTGTCATCATGTCGTTCCAAACCTGTATGAATTTCTTTCTTCTGTGGAACATACAAGAAGATATTTTGAAGTCAGTGTGGTCCAGAACAACACAGATTTTTAAACAAAAAAAGGAAATTTTTCAAAATACCTTCTTTACTGTTCCACAAAAGTCATAAGGAATAAAATGACATGAGGGTGAATAAATGATGACAGATTTTTTAAGGTTAAGTATCCCTTTAATATCAAGTATCGAATAAAAAATTTCACTTTAGCTGGAGGGCATCTCATATCTCGCTTACACACACACACACACACACACACACACACACACACACACACACACAAATCTCACACACACAGACCCAAGTTTATTGCCCATACTAAACTTTGTTCATCTATGGGCACAAAAGTGTGCATTCGTGCTCCCCTTCTATTAAACGGCATCACACATATGCGTCTGTGTACGCTGATGGTGGGGGAATCATGTCTTGTTCATAAGTTTGGCCAGCATTTGCTGAATGTGTAGGCGTGGGAGGTTTAGTACAGAATGCCG